CATTCATGTCTTAACAAGAATAGAATTCTTTAACTAGACTTGATTCACCTAGTCTATTAAACATAACCTATCACAAATCATGTATACTCTTTTGGGTTGGATACTGTGTTCTGTATATGGATGATAATCAGTAATCAAGAGCAATGGATATAACAGGATGTAAAGTTGTTAGCTCTTGCTAAACACATGCAACATGAAACAAGCAGAAGTAGAAAGATGTGTATCCTGTGTTTTTATGGGACCACCATAAAGGGGGGATGGATTTGTGGATGTGGAATAAACTTCTTGAAAGTAGAAAGCTGAAATCCCAAAGCTTGGGTTTGATTTGGCATCACTGTCCCTGAAAATAAATGCATTGCTTTCCCACATCTTTCAAAAGTTAGGATAGGATACAGCATGTAAAATGATCGCATGGCAGTTTCTGGAAGCAATTTTTCACAGCGAGTTAGATCGCGAGATGATGGCTGATTCACTCAGAACACTGGCTCTGAAAGCATTGAGGTCTGGCCTCCTAATCACTTTGCATCACTCACATGTTCCCATTTGAGATCAGGACACGGCTACTGTTTTGTAGCATTCCCATTTCCTCCTAAGTAAGATTCCTTTACCGAGCTGGAACAGGGTTGAGGGGCTTCCTCAGGAAGCAGGATTATCAGCTAACCGTTCCCCAAAAAACCAAAACACCAGGATTGTAGTCCCAACATTTCATGGAGATGCCAGTTTGGAGAAAGTTGGATATGTGAGTACGGGTTTGGGCCAAAAGGGGTCCCAAGAAAGGTAGAAAAATATATAGCAAGTACATATAGCTCAATGGTGGGTTGCCAATTTTGTTACTACTGGTTCGTGTGTGCTCCCCCACGCGCTCGCACTCAAGTGTGATGTCCGGGCGGGTGGGCGGAGCCTCCTGCCACCACTACTACTGGTTTGGCCGATCCGGCAGCCGCCCACCTCTGATATAGCTAGATATATAGCTAGATAACATCTGGATGGTGAGCAACCACAATTAGCTACTTTGGTAGANTCCAATCACACTTGGCCAATAAAGAATTCTATTCTATTCTATTCCATTCCATTCCATTCTACCATTCATCATATGGTTACCCTCCCCCCTTATCATATTTGCTGCTCTTCTCTGCATCCTTTCTAGAATATCTCAACATCTGTTTTTGAATTATGGTGCCCAGAACTGGATGCCATGTGCAACGACGCAACTGAAATCTCATCCATGCAGCCCTGTTAACAAGGGTTTTAAGAGATAAGCACTGATGCAATAATGATGGTAACAAGGGTTACAAGTCACTTTAAGAAAAAAGGAACTACTCATGGAAAAATATCCCCACAACAAGATATCTCTACTATGCAGAAAAGAAAAGAAAAACTTGCAGAAAGAAAAAAGCAGAGTATTCATTGTTGAGTACCCATCTAAGATTAAATGCAGTGGGGGGATTCGGTAGACCCGGTAGCTAACTTTTTATGCAGTTTGCCGAACCGGCTGAATAGCGTGCCTCACCACACCTCACCCTTCCCTTCCCAGCCACTCCTCGCCTCTGCTGCCTGGGCGCTGCCTGGACGTTCACCCAGCTACCTGGCTGGGTGGCAGGGCCAGTAACTAGGAGTGGCTGGGAGGGAAGGGTTGATGCATGGCTGGGCAAGGCTAGGTGCCCCTCAACGTGAGTGATATCGAGTTGGCCACACCCAAACAATCACATGACTACCCAGACACACTTACCCAGCCGGTCATTAGGGCAAAGAACCGGTTGTTAAATTATTTTAATCCCACCACTGATTAAATGTAACCTACCTCCATGTTTTTGAGGTTGGTGGTCTATATTAATAAAACTAATACTGATAGTCCTCACACTTGAGACTATTCAAAGTTAAGACTTACAACCAAGTTTTAAGGTTTCAATACAGCCTCCCTTATTGGTCATATTATTGCATTTCGCATGCTCAGTAACCAGCCCTCATTTATGGCCATATGCAGTGTCTTTCACTCATATGATCATGATTTATGACAGGTTTATAAATCTGGCCTATAGCAAACTATGAGTTCACTTAACAACTGCCACAAGGAAGGTCATAAAAATGGGTCCAACTACATGGTGACCCACTTAGAGTCCAAAGTTGAGGATTAACTGTAAACTGGCTGAATCCAGAGGTTCTAGATGCTGTGCAACAGAGTATAAAGGAGAATATAATAAAAATGAAGATTGCAAGCAACAAATAAGTTAATTATCAAAGATCTTGCAGAAAAATCAGGGTGTTTTTATTCAAATACCGAATCAATTTGAATGCTTTATCAAATGGCTTTGCAATATTGAAGGATTATGTAAAGAAGACATTACATAAAAGCAATTTAAAAAATAAAACAGCCAGCACAAGTACAATTTATCTCAAGATAAGAAGAAAATTAAATATAATCTGTCAGTACAATATTCTAGCACTCTAAGCAAATAGAGAAAAAAAAAAGCATAGAACAATCAGGAAGGTAGGCGAAATAGAGAGGTAGCTTAATAAAATATTGGAAAATGAGAAGATCAGAATGATAGGTTTACAAAAGAGATGAAAACATCTGAACACAAGGCAGGATCAGACCCAGGCCTCTTTTTATCCAATCTCTTGGTTCTACAGAAGATAACAATTCTGTCTGCAGTGTGCTAGAAATTGACTGTGTTTTCTTGTTTTCCTGTTCTGACTACATATAAGCCTTATTATCATAGAAAATAGAACACATGTCACCCTTTGCCTGTCCTGGGCAATTAATTTCCAAGAGGCCACATGCAAAACTGGAACTGTTGTGGGCCGAATCAATAGGGCCGCTGTCACCCCAAGCCAGACAAGGATAGGCAAAGGGTGAGATGTGGACCACAGGCCATAGAATACCCAGGTCTGATATAGAATCATAGGACTGGAAGGGACCGCAGAGATCTTCTAGTCAAACCCCCTACTCAAGGGACACCAGCCCAATCAAGTGGCTGTCCAGTCTATTTTTTAAAACCTCCAGTGTTGGAGCACCCACAACTCCAGGAGGCAAGCTATTCCATTGATTAATTGTTCTCCCTATCAGGAAATATCTCTTTACTTCTAAATATGATCTCACTTTCATGATGTTCCATCTGTTATTTTTTGTTCTGCTTTCTGGCACTTTGGAGAATACATCAATCTCCTCGTTTCTGTGATAGCTATCCAAGTATTGGAAGATAGTTATCATGTTACACACACCCGTCAGACTAAATCAGTTTCAAATCATAAGAGATGCCTCTTGTAGGCATAAAACATTACCCAGATATGAAACTTTAATATTTTTGTCTAATATCTAATACATGTTTCACCCCTCAAAATATGTTTATACGGTCTACTGCAGAATATGGGGAATTTCTTTAAAAACTTTTGCAACTTTGCAAAAATTAATACATCTCCAGCACCTGCTTTTCTGAGCCACAGTGTAATTTGAGGAAACCAGCTAATAAACAGCATGGCGTCTTATTAAATACATTAATTTTTAAGATTCCCTGGGACTTTTTGGTTATTTTTCAGGATTCCTTCTGCAGGTCAGGGCAAAGAATTCTTATGTGGTTGGTTGAGAGCGTATTTGTGTTGTGTGTTCCCTCTGCTGTTCTAACAAGACTAGCTGGGCATATTCAGTAAGTTATAGTTTAGTTAGCAATGGAATTATGTATTGTGAACTATTTCAATAAAGTAACAGAGTTGTAAGGAACCTTGAAGGTCTTCTAGCCTGAAATGGTATAGGTTCTCCTGCTTGAACAGGGGATTGGGCTCAAAGGTTCCTTCTATTCCTATTTTATTTCATTCCATTCCATTCCATTCTAAATACACTCTATTCCTATCCTATCCTTAACCTATTCCTATTATTATTCCTACTCTACTTTACTGTAAATACATTCTGTTCCATTCCGTTCCATTCTTAGTTATGTTCTATTCTATTTTATTCCCTATTCTATTCTATTCTATTCCTATTTTATTCTGATATTCTAGTTCTGTTTCTTCTACTTCTATTTCCATTCCATTCCAGTCCATTCCTGATTCTCTATTCTATTCCATTCCATTCCACATTCCCACTCTAATTCCCATTCTATTCCATTCCATTCCTATGCCTATTCCATTCTGATATTCCATTCCATTCCTAGTTATGTTCTATTCTATTCTATTTTATTCCCTCTTCTATTTCTATTTTATTCTTATTCTATTTATATTTCTTCTACTTCTATTTCCATTCCAGTCCATTCCTGATTCTCTATTCTATTCCATTCCATTCCTATGCCTATTCCATTCTGATATTCCATTCCGTTCCATTCTTAGTTATGTCCTATTCTATTCTATTTTATTCCGTATTCTGTTCTATTCCTATTTCATTCTGATATTCTATTTCTATTTCTTCTACTTCTATTTCCATTCCATTCCTGATTCTCTATTATATTCTATTCCATTCGATTCTAATTCCCATTCTAATTCTCATTCCATTCCATTCCTATGCCTATTCCATTCTGATATTCCATTCGGTTCCATTGCTACTTCTATGCTATGCTATTTCTACTATTCTACTTATTGTATTCCATTCCATTCTTACTTCTGTTCTGTTCCGTTCCATTCTTAATTCTATTCTATTCCATTCCATTCCATTCTCCCTCTGTTCAAACAGGAAGGAAACCCTGTAATATCCTGGACGAATGAACAGCTTGCCTTCCTTGTCTCTTCTTAAAAATCCTCCAGTGAGGATCACAACGTCTGATATACTGGACTGTTAACTGCAGCGAATGGAAACGGCCACAGCAGTTTAAGTTCCCTGAACTCTCCAAAGAAGGATTAACCTACCCCTAGTGGCTAGGGAGCAGGTTGCCATAGCAACCCTGCAACGCGGGAGGAGGGCGATCCTTTTAGGACGGAGAACTATAGCCCCGCCCAGTAAGGTACCCTCGTCAATGATTGGTCAGTTCGCGCGAGTGACCGAGCGCTACAGAAGGCCCGAAGCCGGAAGTCGGAAACAGGAAGCAGCTGGTGGGAGGGGGGAATGAAACAATAATGGAGAGGGGGTGTGTGGCGTCTCTGAGGCGCGTCGGCAGGTGAGTCCCTGCGGAGCGAAAAGGAATTTTCGAGCCGTTTGGCTCTCGGCGCGCAAAAGTGCTGCGCTGGGCTGCAGGAAGCAACGGGGGAACGGGGATAGTGGAAGATAGGGTTCTTCTGCGCGCATGCAGAGTGCCAGCTGCTTCCTTCTCTCTGGGAGGAGGGACTGGAAGGAAGGAAGGTGGAAAGAAAAGTGGAAGGTGGGAAAAGAAAGGTGGAAGGAGAGATTGAACGGAAGGAAGGAGGAAAGAGGGAAAGAAAGGTGAAAGTTAGGAAGGAGGAAAGAGGGATAGAAAGGTGAAAGAAAGGAAGGGGAAAGAAGGAAAGAAAGATGGAAGGAAGGAAGGTGGAAAGGAAGAAGGAAGGAAGGGGGAAAGAGGGAAAGGAAGATGGAGGGAGGAACTGAAAGGTAGGAAGGTGGAAAGAAAGGTGGAAGATGGAAAGATGGGGAGAGAGGTGGAAGGAGGGACTGAAATGAAGGAAGAGGGAAAGAAAAGCAGGAGGAGGGACTGAAAGGAAGGTGGAAAGAGGGAAAGAAAGCTGAAAGGAAGGAATGGGGAAGAAAGGTAGAAAGACAGGCAAAAGGAGGGACTGAAAGGAAGGTGGAAGCTGGAAATACGGGGAAAGAAAAATAGAAGGGGCTGAAAGTAAGAAATGGCAAGAAAGACAGGAAGGAAGGTGGAAAGAGGGAAAGAAAAGTGGAAAGAGGAAATGAAAGTTAAAAAGATGGAAAGAAAAGTGGAAGGAGGGATTGGAAGGAAGGAAGGGTGGAAAGATAGGGAAAGAAAGGTGAGAGGAGGGACTGAAAGTAAGAGATGAAAAAAGACAGGGAAAGAAAGGCAGAAGGAGGGACTAGAAGGAAGGGGGAAAGAAAGGTGAGAGGAGGGTTTGAAAGGAAAGAAGATAGAAAGAAAGAAAAGTGGAAGGAGGAACTGAAAGAAAGGAAGGCGGAAAGAAAGATGGAAGGTGGAAAGATGGGAAAAGAAAGGTGGGAGGAAGGATTGAAAGGAAGGAAGATGGAAAGACAGGGAAAGAAAGGTGGAAGGAGAGACAAAAGGTCCCAACAGGATTGATGGCAAAGTCTGGATAATTCTTAAAAGAGACACAAATAAGGATGAATTTGGAAGTCATAAGCCACATCGGTTTAACTGTCTTCCAAAGCAGTAACTTCCAACTGAGCTGGAAGGGACCTTGGAGGTCTTCTAGTCCAACCCTCTGCTCAAGCAGGAGAACCTATGCCATTCCAGACAAATGGCTGTCCAGTCTCTTCTTAAAAGCCTCCAGTGATGGAGCATACAAAACATCTGAAGGCAAGCCATTCTACCAGCTGATTGTTCTCACTATCAGGAAATTTCTCTGTATAAGACCAAGGACAAAGCAACATGGATGGAAATACGATATCCTTATATTTGTAAATACTGAATAGACCAATTGTAAATAAGCATGGTGGTTACAATATTTAACTTTATATTCTAGTATGTATGGCAAAGACATTGCCAGGACGGTTACACTGTGTCCAATGTTTTAATGTGTGTTTAATTAAAAAAACTTTTAATTTAAAAAAAAAGGAAATTTCTCCTTAGTTCTGAACTGGATTTTCCCTTGATAAGTTTTCATCTGTATAGCTCTGTGAGCTTGCTTGCTTTCCTCCCCTCCTTGTGCCGTCGTCATCCTGTTCCTCCCTCCACCACCACCAGCAGAAAGATCTGCTCTCTTGGGTTTAGCGTTGTGAAAAAGAGTGTCTCTGCCCATAAGCAGATTAGCTGTAGCTCCCCATCGTACCTGGGTATATATTTTCAAGGGAAAGGAGACTTTTTACAGTGGAGAGAAAAGCCATGGTTTATTATGTGAGGATAATATTACCCATTTATAAATGTGCTCATCCATACAAATTCAACAGACTTAAAAAATGATTTTAAAGGATTTGTTTGTGCACTGTGCTCCTACCTAATTTATCTAGAGACTACATGCTTTCTTTATACACTGTACTATTTTTTCTACAGTAAGACTGTGAAATACCGTATACAAATTTTATTAATAGCCTGCATAAAATAGCAAGTAATCCGTTTTATTGTCTTTCTCTTTTAACCATGCAGGCTCAATCCTATTTGTTGTTAAGCAAGTTCCGCTGAACTCTTTGGAGCCTACTCCCAGGTAAATGAGTAGAGGATTGCATTCTGAACTCCCATGTTTTGCACACAAGGCTGTATTTCTTTGTGAAATGTATACCCAAAAGTGCCACACCTTCAAAAAAATTTGTTGTTAATTGTGAAGTCGTGTCCGATCCATCGCGACCCCATGGATAATGTTCCTCCAGGCCTTCCTGTCCTCTACCATCCCCCGGAGTCCATTGAAGCTCACGCTGACTGTTTCAGTGACTCCATCCAACCACCTCCTTCTCTGTCATCCCCTTCTTCTTTTGCCCTCCATTGTTCCCAGCATGGGGCTCTTCTCCAGGGAGTCCTTCCTTCTCATTAGGTGGCCAAGTCTTTGAGTTTCATCTTTAGGATCTGGCCTTCTAAAGATCAGTCAGGGTTGATCTCTAGTTTGATCGCCTTGCAGTCCAAGGGACTCCTCCTGCAGCACCAGAGTTCAAAGGCCTCTGTTCTTTGGTGCTCAGTCTTCCTTCTGGTCCAACTTCCATAGCCATCCGTTGCAACTGGGAAAACCATAGCCTTGACTATACACACTTTTGTTGGCAGGGTGATGTCTCTGCTTTTTAGTATGCTGTTCAGATTTGCCATAGCTTTCCTCCCCAGGAGCAACCGTCTTTTAATTTCTGGGCTGCAGTCCCCATCTGCAGTGATTTTGGAGCCCAGGAAAGTAAAATCTGTCACTATCTCTATTTCTTCCCCATCTATTTGCAAGGAATTGAGAGGGCCGGATACCATGATTTTAGTTTTCTTAATGTTGAGTTTCAAGCCAACTTCTGCACTCTCCTTCTTCACCCACATCAAGAGGCTCTTTAGATCGTGGTATCATCCGCATATCTGAGATTGCTGATTTTTCTCCCTTTATTAATAGCATGCGTAAAATAGCAAGTAATCCATTTTATTTTCTTTCTTTTTTAACCATTAATTCAATCCTATTGCTGTTAAGCAAGTTCCGCTGAACTCTTTGGAGCCTACTCCCAGATAAATAAGTAGAGGATTGCACTCTGAAAGCTGTATTTTTTTGTGAAATGTATAGCTAAGAGTGCCACACCTTCAAAATAGGTTAATTTAAAGATGTGTGAAGTATGGACTTGCCTCGAATTAAAGCCATTTGTTTAGTGAGCATTCGAATTTACAACAGCACTGAAAAAAATGAATTATGACTGTTTTCCACATTTAACAACCATTGCAGCATCAAGATGATGGGATGCACCCATGTTGCATTTTATAAGCAGATGTGAAATATTTCAATCTTCTTTGTGTCAATTGGGATGTTGCTTTTTGTAATTATAGATGATCTGGTCCTCAGCGCATCTTAGTTGGAGAAGGTGAGAGAGGCTATGGATGAAACAATATTTCGAAGTGATACAGTACTCTCTGATATTCATCTCCACACTGCAAACAGAAGGCATTTTATGGTGAGGTTGAACTCTGTTGGCCAGCCAGGTAATATAACATTTAATTCCATCCCCATCAAGAGTGGATGCTGTTGATTGAGAGAGAGGAAGAGTGCTGAACTCAACAGAGCTTCCAGGACTGTTGTGTCGTTGTTTGGTTTTGGCTTACTCAAATTGTGCACCTAACCAGCCACAGGTCTCTGCCATGGCTTGCAGCAGTGATGGCTAACCTGCTTTCCATTGCGTGGCAAAAGGGGGAAGAGCGCAGGAGGGATTGTGCACGGGCGTGCCCACACCCATAATTCTATGCACACAACCCCATGCGCATGCATGCGACCCTTCTCCCCCCCCTGTTTTTGGCGCAAGATGCACCCGTTTTTCGCCCTCCCCAGGCTCCAGAGGCTTTCTAGGAGGCTTTCCCACCTGTCTGGAGGCGTCCCTGAAGCCTCCAGAGGGAGAGAAATGGCCAAAAATGAAGTCCGGAGTTAGCTGGCCAGTGCATGCATGCGCGCTGGAGCTGACAGGGCAACGCCTTGCGTGCCCTAACAAATGGCTCCGTGTGACACCTGTGCCATAGGTTCGCCATCATGGGTTTATAGTTTAATGCATATGCTTAGGAGAGGATGCAGTAAGGAAGAAGAGGAATTTAGCTGTGACAAAAAGGAGAAAGAAGGATATGCATCAGATAACAGAAACTGAAGAGTGAGGGGGGAAGAGACTGGCAAAATGCATGCAAGGAAGAAAAGGACCATGAAGGGGCTGATAGAACGTACAAGGAAAGGAGGGCAGCCAGGGGTGGGGTGCTGGTTCAGGAGAACCTGTAGCTAATGTTATGGCCAGTTTAGAGAACCTCCAAATCCCACCCCTGGTTGGCCCCTCTCCCCCCTACCCCCCCAAGAATCTCCACACAGCCCGTTTTGGATGCGAGGTAAGTTCAGGGCTCCCCGGAGCCTGAGGAGGGTGAAAACTCCCCACACACACACACCATGGTGCAGGAGGCCAACTAGGGCATGCCCACCATGGGCACGCCCACCCAGAAACCGGGCAGAGAGCCCATTGCTGAAATTTTTGAAGCCCACCCCTGAGGACAGCACATGACTGGGCTTGATGGGAACAGAAACGGAACACATCTGCAAAGCCCGAGAGAGAGAAGATATTTCCCTATATCTGGTTTGAAATCCTCAGAATGTATTGTTGTTTGGAATTATTGCTGAATAATATAAGAGGGCAAGAACAGGATCGGTAGATGATAGAAGTGAAGAAAGCTGAATCATTAAATACAAGAATTTTAAACCTCTACATACATCATTATGAATTCAGTTTCATGTAGTTTCCAAAAACACATGAAATGCCCAGTTAAATTGAAGGGTGAGGCGTGCTAAATAACTGTACAACAAAGTTCTAGGGAAAACAGTCCTTGGAACCTCCGAAAGTCTAATTCTGCTTGTAAGTTTCTTCAAATGTGTAGGTCATTTGCTTGCAAGGAAATGTATCAACTGAAATTATTGCCTCTCAGTCTTTCTCTCGCAGTTCAGGCTCCTTTTGGACAATATCCAGGGGGACCCTGAGACAGAAGAGAGAGGCCAAGAATCATCCCTTGGCTGCCAGCGCAGAAGTGAGGAAGAATTCATTGCAGAGGGCAGAGCTGGTGCTGACGATTCCCCAGACAGTCCTGAAAACAAAGGTGACCCCCGTCGAGGGTTTGAGGCCTTGTTGGATGAAGATGGAGACCTGCAGGTGGTCCGGAAAGCTCCCCTCCCTCCTGCAGGAGGTGAGGGTCAGACAAGGACTAAGTCCTTCCCCATTATTTTGACTAAGGATGGAGATGTCTTGGAAGAAGAAGAACACGAGAGCAACAGTTTCAATATCGTTAAAATAGGTCAGTAACACCATCATATTTTATTCTCATGCAAATAGTGCTGAACTTATAGCCAATTGCTTTAGCAAAGTTGCAATGGATCTCCCAGGGCTAAAACCTGAAACACATCCCTGGGCTGCCATAGCAGAAGTGAGGGAAGAATTAATTACAGAGGACAGAACTGGTGCTGAAGAATTGAATTCAAAGTTCTGACAGCGGAGGGAGGGTAGCCATGAAATCCCATTGGTACACTAATAGCTGAGCTTGTTGATCAGAAAGGTTGGCAATTCATCAGTTTGAATCCCTAGCACCGCGTAATCGAGTGAGCTCCCGTTCCCTGTCCCAGCTTCGGCTAACCTAGTAGTTCAAACACATGTAAAAAATGCAAGTAGAAAAATAAGTGCCACCTATGGTGGGAAGGGAACAGCGCTCCGTGAGCCTTCGGCATTTAGTCATGCCGGCCACATGACCANATTCCCTAGTAATTGTTTTTGCTTGGTTTCTTTCCATGTGTGATCAGAACCTTCTTGCGCTTAATTTAAAACGGAACTATTGGAAGGAATTATCACCCCCTTGGAAACTACTTTGAAATCATTCCCCTTGGAAACGTTCTCTTTCTATTCCACATGGCCTCAGTGTGATCAGAAGTATCTGATTTCCATTATTCATAATAAGTTTAAAGAAGACGTTGACATGTATTCTTCCTGGTTTGAGAAGTCTGTATCACTTTCTCTCTGCAATTATTTAAAAAAAGTTCCAGAAAAGGGTACTTAAAACATTAATATAAAATAACTCTGTTTTAATGTTGGAGTGTGGGTTGCCACAATGTGCGGGAAAAATATTTTTCAGCAGAATAGCAGGTAGCTCTGGAAATAGATTGGGAGGCACTATATATTTTTATTTATCAACTGTAACCCAGAGAAGAGAACCAAATACATATTTCTTCCTCTTCTCTCTTTAACACTGTTATTTTGAGCCAAATGCAGAGATCAAAGTTTACTTGTGATTTTTTTCTTCATACACTGCTCCATCTCCCATTCTTAAGAAAGGAAACAGCTAACTGGGGGGAGTAACCTTGATCCTAAGCAAATCCAAGTTGTGGGTTAAACATTAGCCCCTCTGAGTTACCTGTTTGGTTATTTTTCTAAATAGGGTGTTTATGTAAGGTGCAAATTTCCCCCAACCACAGGGGAACGTGTGCAGAACTCACAAATACATATGAGGCATTTAGGCTGTGAAAAAAAATCTAGCTATGCAGTTGCTAAGAATCAAAATCTGTTTGATGACACATAATCAATCAATCAACCAAACTTAAGCCCTTGCTTAGTATTGCAGAAGGTCAGTGCCTACCCCTTCATCCTAGAAGTATGAAAATTTCTGAGAAATATTAAAAAGGCAGAATATTATATTTCCCTAAAGGAGAAATGGAGAAACATGCTCTTGGAGGCAGAAAGCAGCCTCCAGGTCTTTCTTAATAGCCACAGCAGATACTGAGGCCAGCTTTTAGAGATGCAGATTTGGTAATCCATTCAAGACAGGATATTTTGAAACAAAGGCAGAGTG